AGACCTTGCAGCTAGCAGTTCATTGCTTGTTTAGAATATTACCATTCAGTCATTTTTGTATATTTGCATTTTTTAAAAAGATGACATACACTACAAATCTCATTTTATACCTAGATTCTTAGTGGTATCTTTTATTTTTTAAATCCTTTATTATGGAAATTAAATATATATATATGCCTAACATGTAAGAGTAAAATATAATTAACTCCTAAGTGTGTACCTATTACTAAGCTTTAACAGTTACCAATATTTAGTATTCTTTTATTTGATGCCCACTATACATTTTGATAATTGGCCTGAATATTTAATCACATACTAGACATTTTATAAGATTGTCTTGTACATAAGATAGTTTATCTCTTAAAAAGAAATTACAGTATCATTACTATACCTAGTATTATCTTATACCTAGTTTCTTATTCAATCTTCTATTTCTCTGAAAAATAGTACTCCTAATTATTTATTTGAATTGGGATTCAAACAAAGCACATACCTCACTTGTGGTTGTTATATCTCTTATGTAATTTTTAATTTCACTATTTTTCCTCATTCCAAATACTTATTAAAGGAACCTGTTAATAAGGAGTTCTGTTAAATGTCCCACCTTCTGGACATGACTGATTTGATTATACCCTTTAACATGCACCTCTGTTCCTGTACTACCTATAAACTGGTAGCGCTAGAGGCTCAATTTGATTCAGGTTTGTTTTTGTTTTTTTTCTTTTTGCAAGAAAACTTCTTGGTTGGTGCAATGTACTTTTATTCTTTCACTTCAGAAGGAACTTGCTCTCTGGTTTTTCCTTTATGAATGATTGTAAGATTGATCAGTGAATTCAGGTACTGTTGGCCTATTCCACCCATATATACTTTTTCTTTTACTTAGTAGTCAAAGTTGACATTGATAATTGTTATCTAGATCCATTCTTCTGTTGTGGGTTTTTAAATGGTGATTTATTTTACATTTATTATTGGCTTTTCTATAAAGAATATTTCTTTATTAAATATTTAGTTAGTTTCTTAGTGCTGCTATAACAGAAATACCACAAGTATGTGACTTATTGACATATAAAGTTCCTACTTAACAGTTGTTCTGTGGGAAAAGGTGAGGCTTTCTGCTCCCATATAAATTTACAGCCCTGGAAAACCCTATACAGTGTCGCTATGAGTTGGAACCGATTTGGTGGCATATCACCACCACCATCACTCTGTCCATCATGTCCTCAGTATACAGCTCTGCTCCTCTTTTTCACCTTCTTCTGCCTTGGCCCAAAGTAGGGCTTACTTAGATCACTTTTTTTAGGAAGCTTTTCTTAAACTTACTGCTCCTGTCTTCCAATTGTATTAGGTATCCTTTCTCTTCTCTGAGAAATCTTAGTGGAAAGAATGTTTGAATGGACAAGTTGATGTTTTAAAATGTGTCTTTCCTTTCTTGTTGAAATGCAGAGCCAGGTTTTCCAGGACTGAATCCTCCAATTCCTTGGGAACATGCACCACGTCCTCATTTCCCCCTTGTCCCAGCTTCGTGGCCTTATGGTTTGCATCAAAACTTCATGCATCAGGGAAATGCCAGATTTCAGCCCAACAAACCTTTCTATACTCAAGGTACCATTATTTAACTAATCATACATTAGTTAATACACTGAGTGGGTTTTGTTCTGAGACTGGGAGCTTTAGTGAAGACTAGGATATGAAAACTAAAATCATGCATTGAGTAAACACATATTGATAACATAGTATATATACATCAGACTGTGCTAGGTGCTTGTTGTTCAACATAAATAAAACAAGTATTCCCACACTTAATGTACATTAGATGAGCCAAACATGTCAAAACCAAGAATCTTAAGTTTTGAGGGGTCAGTTTACTTCTGCCCTAGAATGGGAAGTCAACATATATAAGGGATGTAGTTACCAGAAATTAATTTACAGAATTTGACCTTTGCACTAGATCTTAAAAAGGAACTTTTTCTAGAAATTAGAGGAAGTTGTTCTTATTTGAGGGATTTATATGTGCAGAGATGTGTGGGTGATGAGGCTAGTGAGGGTGAGCTGAGGCCTATGCCATATTATGAGAGTTTAGGTTTTATTTAGTAAGCACTGGAGTCTTAATAAATTTTTGAGTCAATTATACATTGTCAAATTTGTTTAGTAAATATAGGACTTGAATGATAGTGTCATTACAATTACATTAGGGAGTTTAAGAAACTATAAGGAAAGTCATTCAGGAAATGTTGACTGAATAAAGTAACTAAAGGAAAGTTGTTCAGATGCCTAGAATAAGTACCAGGCTTGATAACATTTAAGCCTTCTTGAACTATCGTATACTGTGGGGCAGCCCTTTATTAAAGAGTGACTGTGTTTTGTTTCTTCCGAGATAAGAACCTAAGGTTCAAAGGATATTGGTTATACAAATCGTTTTTAGAGAGAATCCAAAGTTCATTCCTGATGAATTTCTTCCTTGATTCTGTTTCTTCTTTATTATCTCCTGTCATATACCCATCTCTCTTCCTTCTCCCTGCTCTCCCCATTCCCACCAAAGTATTTCTCTGTACTTCATTTCTACTTGCTGTATAAATAGAGAATAGAGAACTAGCCTCTAATTAATTCTAAGGGGTTGTCAGGTAAATAAATGGGCACAAGCCTTTCAGTTTCCTGTCTGTGTTGTATCCAACAGACAGATGTGCCAACCGTCGATGTAGAGAGCGTTGTCCCCACCCACCGAGAGGAAACGTGTCGGAGTAATGCGAGTCCATTTTCTTTCAGCTGGTCTACCGATGCACAGCAACCAGCCAATCCTGCTGTCTCAAGGGTATCCGTACCTCAATGTCAGTTACATTCAGCAGAAAAAGTGACAGTTAATGGAAAGCAAAACAAATCAGGTCCTGATTTAATATTTTAACACGTTTAGATAGATTATTTAAATTCTAAGACTGTTTTTAAAGACTGTATTATTTGTATATAAATATGAACTATAGTTTTTACCAGTATCACCAAATTGAGTGATACAAATTTCATCTATTTTATTACCCTATTTTTAAGGGAATTTTATGTTTTGTTTAACCTTGATGAATTGTATAAAGAGAGAATTTAAAAAATTACATTCTTTATTTTCTATTAGCTGTATTCATACTTTGGTTGCTTCAGACTTTATATAGTATATTGTTCTTAAGAATTAGGAAAGAATTTCATGTGTTTTCAATTTGTCACTTCTATTCTTTACAGAACCTTGTAGTGCCAAAAACTTTTTAAAAGGTAAAAAAATAAAATAAAATAAAACCACAACAAAGATCCAGACTTTTCTTTTACAAACTAAATATTCACATTGGAGCAGGAAATTGCTTGTTTGTATTTGAAATAATTGTTTCTAAGGTAATACATATTTTTTGAGTTAAATTTGGTTAATCCATCTGGTTGTTTAGGTGACAGAAATATAATGTCATCATTCAGAGATCAGAGATTGGTTTCATGCTCAGTGACTATAAGCATTTTAAATCACATACTTAGTTTAGAGATCCAAGGATCTTTTCACGTCCTTTATTTTGTCACAACCACCATATAAGGTTAATAGGAGCAGGTACTATCTTTATTATATCATTGAGATAATAAGTGACAAAAGTGAAGAGACTGCCAAAGGTAAGCACACTTTCATTTTGGAAACAATAGAAACCAAAGATCTTTTGAAATAGTTACTAAACACTGAGACTAATGCCAATAGTGGAAGGATGGTAATTCTTATTTATTAATGGCCTATTATGTGCCAGAGAGTCCTAGTGTGATGCTGTAAGGTAAGCACTGGACCATAAGTTTGGTTTGAATTGCAAGGTCAGCAGTTCAAACTCATCAGCTACTCCTCAGAAACCCTATAAAGGGTCGGTATAAGTTGGAACTGACTCAATAGCACTTAACAACAACGTGCCAGAGAGAATATCCATTCTGAATCCTGTGAATTACCACCTGGAAAACAAATGTTCTAGGATTTTAATTGTCAACCAATAATGCTCTTACAATCAGTAATTATAGAAATGTTGGAATTTGGACGTTTGTTGGTGGTGGCAGATTTTTTAGCTGATTTTGCTGTTGGTAAGATGAGGTCATTTTGTCTAACCTTTTAACTAAACAATTGTCAGGGAGTTTAGGTTAAATGATGCTATACATGTATTTTGAAATGTGCAGACTAAAGAATAGATAAAATATATTTGAAGGATAACAATTGCTTTATCTTTATCCTGCTTCTTAAGGAATGTATTACGTAGAGTACCTGGGCTGGCTCCTGCCAATATTTAACAGGGATGTTGCTTAAAACCTATTGTAGAAAATTGAAGGTTTTCCTTGCCATAGTTAAAACCTGAAAAGGCATTTACTAAGTGTTATGACAAGGTATATTTACTGTTAGTTTTTATATCAAAACATTGTAACTTCAGCATCCTAAGTGGTATAATCAGCTTATTTTGTTAATGAGAGAGGTGGCCCAATTTATGTTTTTGTTAACAGCTGACTAGGATTAAGCATATTATCATCTTCAAGCTCTGAGAGAATAGCTCTAAATTAGAGGATGAGATTACAGAGGTATTCATTTTACTGTTTGGATTTTGTATGAACTTGAAATAGTCACTAAACAGCAACAAAAAGAACAAACCTGCAACAATAATGCTGCCAGCTTAGCCTTCCTTCCCAGTGGCACAGTCTAGGGTTAGGGTTAGGAACACATCTTTGATTTCTAAGTATAAAGAAGCTGTCAAATCTCAAGGCAGAGTTTTTTAAAAAGCAGTTTTCAAGCAATGGGAAACGAAATCAATTTAGTGGTATGCACCCAACATTAAAAAGTGATTATTTAGTATAAAATACTAAGAATGTACTTTGCATTAGGAATTATTTTATGAAATTTTGGTTTATTTGGAAACAGACAGATGTAAAATTTTGGTATCTAATGCAAGCTGTGGTCAAAAAGTTTTAAAACTATTGTTTAAAGATCCTATCCAACAGGCTAGCTATATAGCTAGCACAGAAGGCCCTTTAGCAAGGTTTATTACAGAATTGCAGAGGAGATGGGACTTACCAAAAAGAGAAGTCCTACTCACTCTTACCTTTGTTCTAAATAATCTAAGTTATTTTCTGCTTTGAAATTTTTGTTGAAACCATGTGTTTCTAGTAATGGATGACATATTAGATAAAAAATGTTTTGAATATGGATTTTGTTATGGTTAGTGAGATACATCTGTCCAAGGGGTCTGTGATGCTGAGGTGATGGCTTAAGGCCTGTTTCATCAGATTCATATACTCCATCAGATGTCAGCACGCACTAAAAGTGGGTAGGTGCTTCCCACTAAACCCCAGAGGAAAATGTAGGTGGGCTGCTTTTCCACTTCACGCTTATGTTGGTGTTGCCTGTTTCTGTTGTTTATACACACTCCATGGACAATCTCATCTAAGCACACATCTTCCACAATTACTTAAAATTTGTCAATTCTGGCTATTTTGACCTCTAGTATGTATTTCCAACAAAAGTATATATATACCATACCAAAAAGCATTTGCTTTTGAGTTGATTATGACTCACAGCAACCTATGTCAAGAATAGAACTCTACTCCATACGGTTTTTGTTGTTGTTAAGTGCCGTCAAGTAGGTTCTGACCCATAACGACCCTGTACAGTGTTTTTGAGGAGCAGCTGGTGAGTTTGAACTGCCAACTTTGTGGTTCAAACCAGCTTTGCAGTATAGCACATTAACCCACAGCCCCACATGGCTGACTCTTTTTTTAAAAAAAATAGGTCACCAGGTCTTTCTTCTGAGGTGCCTCTGGTGGATTCAAACTGCCAACCTTTCCATTAGCAGCCAAATATATATGTTAACCATTTGCCAGAGATGCCAGATATACTATACCTCTTTAAAAATTATTAAATTCAGTGTATAATTTTTTCACCACACCCTGTGTCTCTCCTAAACCTGGTCTCTTTCTGATATATTTTCTAACGCTGTGAATGACACTACAGTCCGTTTTGTTAAGGTGTTAAGTGCTATTGAATTGATTCCAACTCAGTGACCCAGTATAGTGTTTCTGGGGCAGTAAATGTTGAAAGGAGCAGAAAGTTTCATCTATAACCTTCAGAGTAGCTGGTGGGCTCAAACTGCAGACCTCGTCCAGTACTTCTTGTACAGACCCGAGCTCCCAAAACCCATCTGTGTTTAAGTAAATTACAATAAAAAATACATTTTCAATTCTGTTGCTCTACTAGTATGAATTGTTAAGTGCCATCGAACCGATTTCCACTCACAGCAACCTTGTATAGAGTTTCCAAGGAGAGGCTATTAGATTTGAACTACCAACCTTGTAGTTAACAGTCCAGTGTGTATCCTCTAGGACCACAACAGTATTTCAAATATTACTGATTAGACTTGGATAAAGTAAATATTGCAGGATACAGGGTGTGCTCCTTAACCTGGAATTCAAGGTTTGTGAAGGGGGGGAAAAAACCCACACAGTAATAAGGATGTCTTGTATAAAGGATGTTAAGAGAATCTGTTGAGGTGTCCAATGAAACTGGACTACATGAACCAGAAGGAGCCTTACTGCAAGGTGTTCCTGCAAAGCTGTTGCTAACTTGCAAAGCAGGTTATATGTTTATTACCATTTTCTACTGCTAGGAAAAAAAGTTATGAGTTAATGTTTTACTGATTTGATATTTGAATAATGCAGCAGCACAAATACTGGGAAACTCAAAAACAGTTCCATCACTAAGCAAGCCAAAGACCAAACTACAGAAAATGGGAGTGTCAGGTTTAATAACAAAAAAGCATGCCACATACTTTCACTGTCATCCATGTCACCAACCCCTCACCCTCAAAATCCTTACTACCCTCATGAATTTAATTTGACTATAGTCAAGGTTGGGTATACAAAAGAGATCAAAAGCAGCCCTTAGGAAGCATTTGTTCTCAAAATGTGGTTTATGATTCAGAAAGAGAAAGCTCTATCTTTACAATGTTCAGCACCTTTTGGCTTTTAAAAAAAAAATGTGGAAAAAGTAAAAAAAATTAAAATAGTCTTAATCCTTCCACATAGACAGTCTCATAGTCTCTGGGCTACAATCAATCTGAGTCCATTATTCATTCCCTCTCCGGCTCTTCTTGTGACTTTTCTTAGACCTGAAATGACAACACATACAAATAAATCATTTCATTTAGCAGCTGTTTAAGGAACTGGGTAAATAAAGATTGCTGATCACGCTGATACGGATGAGGAAGACACTGAATATTTAGTAAAATACATCTGGTATTTTTAATGTCTCAGAGCAACTCTGTGAGTCAGGCATTAATATCAAAAATTTACCATTGAGGAAATCACCTCTGTTACTTAAGAGAACACCTAACAGTATGGTAGATAGAAGTTTCTAAGGAAAGCTTATGGAATCAAAGTGACTTTCCAAGGTCCCTTAACTGTTGTTGAGTGTGAAAAGTTGGGACTTACATCCTTTGTCCTCTTCTGAGAACAAAGCTTATGCCCTTTCCACTATCCAAAGTTGTATTCCCACAAGAAAAAAATTTCAGGGCTACAGACCAATTTTGTCTTGAAATGCCAAAAAATTTCACCATTAAAATGAAACTTTGTAGGTTCAACTTAGTTTATTGAAATTTTAACTTCTGAATGAAGAGTGAAATTGTTACCTTTTATTAGAGGTCATTACATACCTTTCAGGGGACTTTGAGTGACTCCTGTGTCTGTGACTGTGGTGATGACCTGGGGAAGAAGAGGCCACGGGTTAAGTGAGAGTCCACCTGCCTCTCTTCACATCACTCTCACTTCCTCCACTCCCTTCTAAGGGCTTAGTATTTTTGGCCTATTCTGGGAACACGTCTTAATAGATAGCACCTTTGAATTAGGGTGGGGAAATAGTAATTAACATTTTACATGCATTCAGGCTTTATGGCTAATTTATAAATATCACATGGGGTTTTCACCATGACTCTGTAGAAGTTAGTCCTATAACTGCAGATAAAGAAACTGAAGTCCAAAGCTAGTAATAATAGATGAGATGTGAACTCCTAATTCCTAGTCCAATTCCTTTTCTCCTATGCTATAATAGAGTCAGGTCACTCTTATACTGGAAGAGGCTAACTGCTCTTATTACATTTTTTGTTAAGACAACCAATGACAAAAGGCCCAAATGCTATACCTGGGGACTTGGAACGGGATCTGTGCCGTCGATCTCGGGACCTACTGCGGTGACGTCTTGGACTCTTGCTCCTATGTCTTTCTCGACGAGGCGAAGGGCTGTGAAAAAGATTGGTCAGTGTCTGGTAATACATATGCTACAACAAACAACACACAGCCCAACTCCCCAATCACTGTTCTTCATCACAAATGACTTAAGGCCTACCTCCTCCTTTTGGGAGACCGACTCCGCCTACAGGGTGGGGGTGGGGGAGGAAAAGGAAGAGAGCTTAGTACATATTGTAGATTACAAAGTGGTCCCTATTTTTCCATGTCTTTTGCAGTGTACCTTTGTGTCACCCTCCCACACTAACTTTGGGATTGGCTATGTGACTTGCTTTGGTCAGTGGGATATTTGCGATTGGGCATGTTTGCTCCTGAACTGTCAATGCCATTAGACAATACCCACCCACAGGAGAAGAGATGAGTTGTTCATGTCATCACATACCAGCCAACAGACAAGGCATGTAAGTGAACCTAGATTTACTAGAAAATAGCCTCGCTGAGCTCAACTTAAATTGCTGACCATAGACTTGTGAACTAAACAAATGGTTGATGTCTGCCATTGAAGTTTTGAGGGTCATGTTTGTGACAATATGTAACTAATCCACTGGGTCAACAAAAATTCTCCATAGGCTGGACATTTTTCCTTCCCTGAAGTCTAAACTTGGAGGCTATGTAGTGCTCAAAGTTTTCCCTGGAAGAGGCCAATGACTAGGGCCTGACCTTCTGGGAGACCGGCTCCTACTCCTCCTGTAACGAAGAGTGGGAGAGCGTCGGGGCTTGTCTAGGTCTCTGTAGCTTCTCCGGCGGTGGTCAGGTGATGGTACTCTCTCCAGCTGCAAATGAGAGCGATGAGTCAGAGATGGGCACATACAACACTGCTTATACCCCTTCATGTCACAAAAATCTTCCTCTGAATAAATTCACAACGCAGTAATTCATGTAAAAGGATAACCCTGAGCCCTGGTGTGGTGCTGTAGGATAAGCACTTGACTGCTAACCAAAATGTTAGCAGCTAAAATCCACTAGCTGTTTTTGGAAACCATATACAGTGTTGCTTTGAGTTGGAACCAACTCGACAAAGCACACCACCACCACAAAAAGAACTACCAAAAAAACTTTCCAATAATCTCACAGTTCTAGTGTTGCTATCATTATTCTAAGGCTGTGTGAGTGATGTTACAGAAACAAATTCTCATCTATTTGAGTAGAATTTCTAATGTGATTATGCTCATCTGCTTAAGTTCCAAAAAATTTAAGAACCAATAAGGTTAAAAAACATTTATTTCCCCTAGCTCTACCAGCTAAAAAGACCTAGAAACAACAACCAACCCAGTAACAAACATAGTCACTGCTACTGGGTCCACCTGTTAGTTCTTAAGTGCAGCAGAGTTGGTTCCAATGTATAGCGACCGTATGCACAACAGAACCAAACACTGCCAAGTCTTATTACCAAGGTCCTATTTTCCAACTACTGATCCTTCCTGTTTCTAACCTTTGCACTCCAATCACCAGTAATTATTAATACATCTTGACTGCATGTTTGATCAATTTAAGACTGAAGAAGCTGGTAGAATTCAATTTCATCATCAGTGATTTTAGTGGTTGGTGTGTAAATTTGGATAACAGTGGTATTAACTGGTCTTCCTTGTTAAGTGCAATCAAGTTGGCTCTGACTCACAGCAACCCTGTATAGGTTTCCAAGGAGCGACTGACTGGTGGATTTGAAGCACTGACCCTGTGGTCGAGTGCTTATCCTACAGTGCTAGACCAGGACTTCAAACAAATTTATTTTCTCATTGTTTAGGAAGCTGTTGTTACTAAGTGCTGTTGAGTCAATTCTGACTCAGTGACCTTATACAGGGTTTCCACGGAGCATCTGGAAGGTTTGAACTGCGGACCTTATGGTTCGCAGCCCAGAGCTTATCCTACAGTGCCACACCAGGAGTCTGGCAACACCAGGTCTTCCTTGTAGGCATATGGATATTATACTATCACAGACAGCAATATACTTCAAGATAGATCTTGGAATGTTCTTTGTGGTGATGAATGCCACACCATTCCGTTGTCAGAATCAGAATGGCCATTACCAGTCCATTTCAGCTCATTAATGCCAATGCTATTGAAATTTATCTGTTGCATTTCATTTTTGACAACTTCTAATTTTCCTAGATTCATATTCCGTACATTCCATGTTCTAATTATTAATGGATGTTTATAACTTTTATATCCATATTTTGAGTTGTATTCCATTTGCATCATCACTGTCAACTCTACTTTGAAGTACCTCTTCCCCTCCAGTCATATTTTGAGTGCCTTCCAACCTGAGGGACTCATCTTATCGTACTACATCTGACGATATTCTGGTGCTATCTGACAGTGTTCTACTATTTATAAGGTTTTCAGTGGCTAAACATTCAGAAGTAGTTAGTCTTAGTCTGGACTATCTGTCCACCATGGGTGAACCTGCTGGTACTTAAAATGGCATAGTTTCCAGCATCACACAAGCCACCACAGTACAACAAACTGACAGACGAGTGGTAGACTAAGTACATCTTTTAAAACAGAAAGAAACAAAAATCTAACATAGGTCTTTGTCCTGTCATTTGACTGACTAGATGTTACAAGAGATCTTCTCAATGTAGAACAACTAAGCCAGATGGTAGGACACACGTGGTCTTACAAGAATGAGGGAGGTCTTCAAGTACTCACCTACTAAAGAACTAACAGAGCTGGGACTAAAGCAGTGGGAGTTCTGGAAGAGCTCTGTTTGAACAGAAATGCCAAGATCTGCAATGCTTTAGGAAATGGAGCCTTGTGAAAGTCTCAGGCATGGAAGAATGGGGCTAGGGCTCAAGTACTGAAGCAAAATTCTCAAAAACAACAGAATTCTCAGGTGGTGGTAACTCTAGGTACCAGTAGAAATAGAGATAAATACTTTTTGGAGGAAAATCTCACCAAGCTAAAACTTAGAGCCACAGGAATCTCACCAAGTTCAAGTAATTCTCTTTAAATAAAATTTCCAGAAGAGAAGGTTATGACACCATGACAGAATCATCAGTAGCAACAAGCAACAGAACACACAGTGGCTGATGAATTTGAACTGCTGCAGACCATGGAATTACCAGCCCAACACAACCCACTGGGCAACTCAAGCTCCTAAAGCTCTTCAGAGTAAACAGTAATGGCAAATGACTATAAAAAGATATTCAACTTCATTAGTAATCAGAGTATTCAAACTCTGACATATTAGTCTGCACCCAATGATCTAGTAAATGTGCACAAATTCTGACAAAATTAAAATTAGCAAATAAATCGGGAGAAGATTTGGAGAAAAGGAACTTATTCACTGCCAGTGGAAGTAGAAATTGGTACAACCACATTGGAAAACAATCTGACAACACCTCAAGACCTCAAATTATGCATGCCTACAGTTTAACCCTATACGGGGTCGCTATGAGTCAAAACCGACTCCACGGCACATCACCACCACAGTTTAACAATCCCAATCACAGGTGTATATAACTAAGAGATATTCATTCTTACATACGTATACCAAGAGACAAGCACGTTTGCAATAAAAAATGAGTATACACAATGTGCCCTTAAATAGAGTGTACCTACACAATTGGATATTATAAAGTTGTGAAAATGACTGCATTCGTTCTGCCTACAACAAAGATGACTACTGAAAATGCACTTAATGAAAAAGTTACATCCTACTCCTGGAAGACTACAATATTATGCTAAATCACTTTTATAGAGGTCAAAAAAAACACTTAACATTTAGACAGAGGTACACATATGCAGGGAGTCCTGGTGTGGCGCTGTGGGTTAATGCGCCAGACTGCAAACCCATTTGAACTGCAAGGTCAGCGGTTTAAGCTCACCAGCTGCTCCTTGGAAGCCCTACACGGGGTCGCTATGGGTCGGAATCGACTTGACGGCACTTAAGAACAACACATATGCAGAGACTCTACGTTACTTAACTCAGAGGTTCCATGCACAGAGATTATGATGTGAATGGTACACATTAATATAGTGCTGTGTAAATCTACAGAGCCTCAAGGATTTGCTCTGCAAATGTGATTAAATTACCCAGAAAATGATCTCTGAGGGGGAGCCACAGATATGGGATAGGGAAGGAATACAGAAGCAAATTACTCTCAATACTCTCTAATTATTGAGTTGCTGGTAGATTTTAAGGTTTGAATATATTATACTTTGTACCAAACATTTTAAGATGTAATATTTTGACTATCAAGTGGTGTATTTTAAAAGATACATTAAAAGACAAAACAAAAGGTATCTAAACATAGAATATTAGTATTTTCAGATATAAAATATTTGGCAAATATAGAGAAATAAACAGGAACATTATTCAGTTCTAATTATTCAAATATATTCAAGGCTAGTATTTGTTTTTGTATTTCCTCCTGGGTTTTTTTTTTTTTCTGCATGTATGTATATATTGTTTTATTATAATTTTAATCACAAAATTTTTGTTGTTGTTGCTGTTGTTAAGTGCCATCAAGTCGGTACCGACTCATAGCGACCCTATGCACAACAGAACCTCATAATTGTTGCCACGCTTGAGCCCATTGATGCTGCCATTTTGCTAATCCATCTCGTT